CACAAACCTGCTGGTCTGCTACTAAGGGAAAGAAGTGGAAGTGCATTCACATGCTTAATCGATGTTCACGCTGCACAGGGTGTCGCGACACACGTGAAACTCATTGCAACATAATTCTGAAATATTCCTCTGTGCACAGGAACAAACCCTTCCCCCCCTCCCCTCAACATTGCTCTAGGTGAAGCTACTCGTTACGGTCAACGAGCCCAACGAGCCTTACCGTCCGCCAACTTACCATGGAACTTTGAATAGAGACCTGGGTAGATCGATAGTATAAGGTTATTTACAAATATAGATAGCAAAACTGCAACCTGCATTTCACAAGCAACTTATGAGCAGGTAAAGTTTGTAATGGTGCAGTAGGGTGGAGGCTTGGTGGTGAGCTGTGAAGCATAAGCGAGGAATCGCATACGTCGAATCGAGTCGTCGAACCTTACCACTGAACCACCACGACTCGATTCGACGTATGCGATTCCTCGCTTATGCTTCACAGCTCACCACCAAGCCTCCACCCTACTGCACCATTACAAACTTTACCTGCTCATAAGTTGCTTGTGAAATGCAGGTTGCAGTTTTGCTATCTATATTTGTAAATAACCTTATAGACTCTATCGATCTACCCAGGTCTCCATTCAAAGTTCCATGGTAAGTTGGCGGACTTCCCTGGTTAGACCATTTGGGTCTGTTTGAAGCGACGGAGTCACCCCACGTTTGAGCCATCTATAGACAGGTTCCTGGGGATCAGCATGTCTCTGCTATGGTAATGGAAGACATCATACGTCGTACTGTTTGGGATAAGGTCGAGTCTGAGTCGAGTGTTCTCAATGGCTCTTCTGATGAGGAATTTTTCTATTTTTTCTTCCACGCGCACTACACACCGCCTTGGTCGGTGACGCTAGACGCTGCAATTTTACTGTTCCTGGTAGATGTCCGATGTCTCGCACGTTATCGCTCGAAGGATATTGGAGGGTCGTATTGGTGACGGAAAACAATTAGGAACTTTCCCTGACACAATGCTTGAAGACAATCCCCACGCTCTACCTCTTCGTGGGCTCCCCCTGCACAAGTAGTCTGGCTCTCACTATTTTTGCTTTTTCGCTGCTTTACAGTAAACGAAAGCGTTGTGATACTCATAAGCGGGAGCTCTTACGCCTACCGTGTTGTCCCGCCCAAAATCCAGAGACTTTTTTGTCATAAGTTCAGATTCTACACCGTATTTTTCGTTTTTTTTTTTTTGAATGTCTAATAGAATGAGCACTGGATGACGCGAAGAGACGATTAGTGAGGCAAAAGGATTTTTTTCTGCTGGAATGAAACTAGCAGGCCCGCAAGACTCATACACTGGAGCTGACAGTGTTCACCACGATATTTTTTCTTCTCTGGGGATTCACTTAGAGTATAGGTTTGTAACTGAGCGATACTATTCCCAATATGCAACCGCAGAGCTTGCCTTTGACCCTGGCCCGAACAACGTCCCTTAGTTCCTGATTTGTTCTCTACTTCTCGATTCTCGCAGTGAGTCAACAAGCCAGGTTCTGAAGGCAGAAGGAATGAAGACAATGACCCACTCCCCCCATCCCCTCGTAACACCGCGCTTAACCAGATACTGTATCGTACAGTAGAAACCACTTCCGTAGCTTCGAAGAAATGAAGCACCGGCGTTTTTTTTTATGATAACCGGCTATAGAAGTCCAAGATAGATGGTTTAACCACGTATGTGAGACGCCTTGACAAGTTTGTCTTGATCAACTTCACTCTTTTAACCGTGAACTTTTTCTATTAGTTAACGAGAATTCTGTGAACAACACATAAAATATTTAGACGCAGATATTGTAAATTCAACTTTTCTTCATGCACAAAAATATACACGGAGAAAAACACAAACAAATCAACTTCAACGGCGGATAACAAGGAACAAGGCAGCCAAACAAGTTGCAGTCCTGTCCACCTCTGAACTCGTCTTAGTTGGCCTGAGTGACCTCAACATTGACTCCGGGTTCGATGGAGATGGAGGTGATCTGGCGCAAGAGATCAGCAGGTGTGTGCAGGTTAATGAGACGCTTATGAATGCGCATCTGAAAATAAGTGTTTCAAAAAAATTGAGACATGTGAAGTGAGTGAGAGTAGATTTGAAACGGAAAACGAACTTGGAAACGATCCCAGGTCTTTGACCCTTCTCCACAAGGAGTCTTGCGAGTGGTGATGCGTAGCACTTTCGTTGGAAGACGAATAGGACCTTTTACCACAAGGTTCTCCTTCTTAGCGCCTTCGATCAGCTGAGCGCACACTGTAACATTAACAATCAAAATTCACCAAACTTGTAAAATCTTAGGATGTGGTCGTTCTCAATCTCAGCAAAAATACAATTGGTATCGTTGGTGTTGCAGAACAACGAATCACAACCTCAAGCAAAGGTGGAGAGCAGCAACCCTATCAGCACATTGTATTCTTAATTCACTTGTTTTAGTCATCTCACCAAGGCTGCGTTCACACTCTGCAGCAGCGTACGTACGCGAGCGTATGCCAGCGTACAGCAGCGTTTTGTGGACAGTTTCTCAAGCTCAAATTTCCCGCGAAAACGCTGGCATACTCTGACCGACTCTAGATTTATTCATACCTTCCTAGTCGCTGGTGTACGCTGGCACGAACGTAGTATTTGCCTTCTTTAGCACTTTTTCACGTCGCAATTCTTGAGCAAATACTTTCAGAAGTCTCAATATGCAAAGAAGAAATGCAGATATAGCCGATTGTTAAGGGTTAGTAAAAAAAATGAAATCATCGATGAAGAATAACTTCATGAAACAAGAACGATCAAGCGTCACAATGGTATAACTGGGCGTTTGATGCGACTAACTTGGCCAAGTTAACTATTAATGAAGCGACCTTCCCTTCAGTTCTTTAGAGAAAGACAAACCCCTGTCAACATGTACGCTCCGTAGTAGATCTCCACATAATTACCCTGTCAGCAAGGTTCGAAAATCGTGATATACAACCGATATACAAGTCAGGGTCTTTATTCTCTTATTCTTATTCATTATTTTATTATTTTTCTTATTCATTATTTTCTTATTCGCCCTTAGTTTTAAAAAGTGGGAGCCGATGCAGGAGTTCACCTCCAGACTTCGGGCGTGGTGAGCATACCACCTGCCACAAAATCACCTCTGTCACTGACTCATTCGCAAAACCTATGGTAAGGGGCCTGCGCATCGCAAACAAGCGCTGATGACCAGCAGCGTACTTCTGAGAAGTACTGAGAAGTAATGGAGGAAGTATATGTACATCAAAAAAAGGAGACCAGGCCAAAATCAAGCGCAGAAGTTCAAATAGACTTCGATGTTTACCACTCCAAGACGAAAAGCTGCACCCCTTTCTTTTCTCTGGCACTGCTCCCTACATCTAAAAAGTTAATCAAAATGTCACGGTAGCGTTGCTAGAGCGTTACGAATAATGGTATCGAATATGAATTCAAATAATTCAAATGGTAAACGCAACAAGCGCTCGAGGATCATGCTTGTAGAGAGATTTGAGCTTCGTCAAAACAAGAACTTGTGTAATTCTGACATTCTAACAAACTGCTTCAAAAAAGTGTCCTTCCATAAGATAACGCAGTGTCCTGATCACGAATGTGACATTCCTTTTTAGCAACCACGCCAAAAATGCCGATTATACAAGGGGTTTAGTGAAAAATGATGTTCGTAATTACAGGGCAGTCACTGGTCCGTAGCCAGGAAAATTGAAGAAAACTGAGCTTTCGGACTGAAACAGCAGAAAAACGCCGTGAATTTGCTCCGACTTTTTTTGCACATTTCCTGAAGACAATGCCGTGGCTTTTCATAGCATCTCTCAGAATCAACTTTAGCGAATAGAGAAAAGCTATTTTAAGCAGGCCAACTGATGTGAGAGCTGGTCACTGACGTTAGGCCGCGTTCATAGCGTGCGACCGTGAAGAAATGCAGAAATGCGGAAACTGAAGAAGTGCGGAATCTGCAGAAATGCCGAAAGTGCGGAAAATCGATACGTATCGGTTGCTTTTCGTCATTTCTGCAGATTCCGCACTTCTGCAGTTTCCGCATTTCTTCAAATCGATATGTATACAATGCTTTTCGTCATTTCCGCATTTCTTCATTTCTGCATTTCTTCATGGTCGCAAACTATGAACGGGCCTTAGAGCCACGGTATTACAAATATTTTGATAAGCATCTCTATCCACTTTTGTAAGAAAAAAATGAAATGAAATCTGGTGAAATATTGGGAATGTTGCTTGACACGAATACTGATCTAAACCTCAAAGGGCTCATCATTACATAAAACAGCACAAATCGGGCATCTGTGTAGTTCGCAAAAATAAACGAAATGCCCGGAAGCATGCAGGTTGTAAATTCAGCATGCAGGTTGTAAATTCAATGTCATGAGCACCATAAAATATAGCAAATGTAGAAACTACCTACCTTTCTCAAGGGATTTAACATCCTGAGAAGTGAGGGTGAGACGAATGCGGTGCTCAGTGTTGTCAGCCAAAGGTTTCTCATTCTTGTATGCGACTCCAGCCTTAAACAGAACCCCATAGGAAGGACATGTAAAAGTAATGAAAATAATAAATGAGCAGTAGAAAATGTCACTGTGCAAGACCAATAAAATGCAACTTTAAAACTTGCCATGATTTGATTTGATTTGAAGAGCTTCAGGAACAACCAATGCTATCTTTTTGTCCAAGCTTTTCTGTGCTCTACTTCCAGTTTGAGGGCTGAAAGCTGACAACATGAGCTTTATGAAAGTAGTGACGCAATATAAAGTGCTAATACGTGCTTCAGGAAGAGACCAGTGACAGACAGCGTCCAGACTCCGCGATTGCGCGACCATAACCGGGGGCGCTTCATCGCCAGATGGTGCACTGCCGCAACGGCACAATTGAAACTGGCAGTGTGTGAACGCGGCCCAGTTAGAACTTCGCCGGTGCGGTGGTGCATCGATTAGCGGTGGAGCGCCCCCGCTTGTGGTCGCGTGATCCGATCGCTAAGTCTGAACGTGGTTTAAAGGGGAATCAATGTCATGCAATCCGAAAGCCTCTCATAATGCACCAATTCAGCTAATCAAAACACGATATTCGAACATAACTATTGCGTAGTTCCAAGTCAGCTATGAGAATAATGTTCAAAGGTAACATTGCTCTACAGTTTCACTGTGTAAAAAAAGGTTCAAATTTGAAGAGTTCGATCGAAGAAGAATGAAGAAGTCTTTGAATCGGGGTCGCACACCTCTCAAGCATATGGTTTTGACTCCGAACTTCGTCAAAAACTATATTTTGCTTCTGCTACTCGACGGAATGGGTATTCTGGCAAAAAATACATGAAAGTTGTAGAGGCGGACTTTCTCACCATGAAGACCCGATGCTACAGCCCAACGCTCCCTCGATAAGCGGAGCCTCACTGGATGAAACATAAAGCAGGCAGGCTGCGGAAATCTGTGTTCATACATAAAAATTCTGCGGGATCAGCAGACTCCCGGCATCTGCGAAGAAGGAATATATTGTATTGATATGCAAACAGTCCCCCCCCCCCGATCAAGCTACCCGCAGGCGTCCTTCCTTGTATAAATAGCCTGGCCCTTAGTCTCCAAGACTATCCTACTTTCGCGGCCTCACAGGAAGTAAGGCGTTGCGGCCCTCATAAGTGCCAGCTCGAACGCCTCCTTAGTTGCCCCGCCGACCAAAACTAGGCTATTTTCTGCCACAGTTCAGTTTTTACGCAGTGTTTTCCTTTTTTTTAGTGTTACATGACGATGGGATGACGCAAGGAAAAGACAAGCGAACCAGGGGAGGCGGGATATTGCTTTATCGGTATAAAACAAGCAGGTCTGAACAACTTGTACAGGCCGCCAGGGTTATCCTCACGGCGTTCTGTCTAATTTTTCTTGCTTTTTTTCTTCCTTGGATCTTCCCTTTATCCACTTGGTGATTACAGGTTCGTTGAACACCACAATCCACAATAAACGACCACAGAGCTTGTCCCAATTCCTGTGGAATCTGAAGAAACCGCACTGACAGCGAGGCTAAGTAATCAATCCCACCTTTACATGATCTTCAAGTACAGCAAATCTTTATTTCGGCTTCTCTGGTTCTAAATAACATTCAGTCCACTCCTTACGCAAAGCAGGCCTCGGGAAACTGTGAAGTCAGGGAGAAACCGTTCTAAACCCAGTCTGTTGTCACAGGAAAATATCTCAGTAAGCTAAGTGGGAGCATTATTCGAGGGTTGTCCATTCTAGACATTTGTGATCGCTAAAGCTGTAACGGAGCAAACAAACTCAAATTATCACGTCGCGAAGTACGCAAATAATTCTAGCACCGACAGCGTAACTGACAGGAAGTTCAACAGTTTTACAGAAGCGTGTCCGGCTTGTAAAAATGTCTCCTTAAAGACTTTCGTCAAAAATAATTAAGTTTCGTCAAAAATAACTAAACAGTTGATGGAACTGTTATATCGGCAAGCCCTCAAAACTTCCCCTAACTCGCCTCTCCCATATTTATCCTCTGCAATATCTGGAAACCGTTCAGCATGGCCACTTTTGAGTCAAATCATAAAAAATTCCACCCTGTTCTGCAGTTTACTTGCAGAAAACACGTAGTATGAATAGGAGGGCAGATCCCACGAGGTGGCAAGGGAACAATAAAACTCAAGATAAAAACCTGAACCTGAAAAGATCATGAAGGCAGAAACATGAAAATTATCAACCTTATTAAATGGGTTATCAAAAATTAACCTGCCGTAAAATGAAGCAAACTGGAACTGATCCTCAGCCGACACTAAGTACCGTAATCGTATAGCCTGCTGATCTAGCGAATTCAAGCAGACTTTAAGTCGGGGTTGAGTCGTTTCCTGATTTATTTGTTTGATGTGAGGATCTTATGTAGTACTATATTGTGGTGTCTTTTTATTGTGTCCATTATCGTACATAAGGTTCCCGCTCAGAAAAATGAGCAAAATTGATGAGCAGCCCTATGATTCAATTTTGAGGTTTTATTTTCATAAAATTATTTGAATTGTTTAAGGTCCGGTTAATTTCATTTGCATGATTTAGAAAGTAGTAGAAGGAGGATCGGCAATTGCTTTCAACTAAATCCTTGTCGACTCTTCACCCAGTCTCCAATTTTGCTACACCCACCTGCTGTCGCCTAAACCTACACCCGGAAAAAATGCCGGACGAGTTTTACGGGCGCAAGTCGTCCACTTCGTTGTGGGACCACGCGTCCCTTTAACTTCATTTGAATTAGGATACTTCAATAAGAGCGGTTTTTTGCGAGATTATGGCTTTGTGCGTAATCATAGTTAATATTTTCGAGATCTGCTTCTGCTTCGATTAGGAAACACATGAAACCTGAGGTGCAACCGGAAACTTGAGCACACCAACTGCATCTTCTGTTTTTTTGGGGACTACATCCCGTCGGGTGCCACCATTTTTAGAAGTTCTGCCACTCAGCGTTGGATTTCAGCGCAGAAAGATATCTACAACCTGTCTTCAACCGGTGTGCGCACAACCGCTGGTATACGAACTGTTCATTAGGTCCGGCGGGCGAAAAAAGAACTTTTGAGTTCAGGAGAACAACAAGTCTCTGTTAGATCTATCTTTCAAGGGAGAACACGTTTACATTGCTTTCCTCGCTCTCATTTGTTTGTCTGATACGCAACACCAATGTGTCACTTCCTTCATTCGTTGAACTGTATTATTGTTTTGCCTACTCCCAGAAAGCCCTTTGCATCTAATTACTTCAGATGTTTGGAGATGTGAAGTCAATACTCAGTGGAGAGGCAAAGAAGGAAGAAAAGGATGATGGCAAATCGACTTCGCTCACAACAATTGCTAGAAAGGTGCTTTTCGAAACCACTGATCTATTCAAACTTTGTTCGAAGTACACTAAATATGGTCATAGAGAAACTAACTGAGCAAATCTATCCCTTTATGGTGGGATCCAAAAATTCTGAAGGTAAATCAACCATTCATATTGAAATTTGCAAGCTGGCTGAGCAACGTCAGCATCCGCGATTACAGGAAGCTTAACCGCGATCGTATTCTTCCCACTAAACTAGTTAGGCTGCCTACAGACTTCGCGATCGGATCGCTCTAGCGATTGGATCACGCGATCTGGGACGTCCCACTGCCAAATGGTGCATCTCCGCAACAACACAATTCGAAAGTTCAAACCATCTGTCAACCGGGTCCAGCAGTAGAGAAGAAAAAAGAATGAAAGAGGAAGAAAAAAGGAGAAGGACGGCTCCGTGGTCGACAGTCATCCTGATACTCAATTCAAATTCGCACGGTGTGAACGCAGCATTTATACCATTTTCACTTTAAATTCACCCTTTTTCAAACCAAATTCACCCCTTTTCAAACCAAATTCACCCTCACTTTTCACATCAAATTAACCACACTTATTAGGGCGGGCAACTCATCAACCAGATCACGCCAGACATCACTGCGAGCCCCGCCCCGACGGCCACGCCCACTTGTCAGCGCGGACATAGATTCTCAAATCTTGTTTCATAACTTCTGCTTTTGCTGTTTCCCACAAACACTTTGACTGGAAACGACCGGGCATTGACACATGGCCGACTCCGCCCATTCTCTAAAGGGTTTGGCAATCTAGGCTGACCACGCCCACTTGCTTTTCGCGGACTTTCGATATTTTTTCAAAATTTTTGCATTTTAGGGCTGCTGCGTGAAGCCCCGCCCACTGTGAGAGGCTCCGCCCACTTTTCAAAATGGTGCAAATCGGCAGTATAGAGACTTGGCTTGCATGCTAGGGTCTCGTTCGTCACTCGGAACAAGAAAATCCGGCAAAGTTTATTCCGAATGATCAGCAATACCCTAGCATGCAAGCCAAGGCTCTATACTGCCGATTTGCACCATTTTTGAAAAGTGGGCGGGGCTTCTTCAAAGTGGGCGGAGCCTCTCACAGTGGGCGGGGCTTCACGCAGCAGCCCTAAAATGCAAAAATTTTGAAAAAATCGAAAGTCCGCGAAAAGCAAGTGGGCGTGGTCAGCCTAGATTGCCAAACCCTTTAGAGAATGGGCGGAGTCGGCCATGTGTCAATGCCCGGTCGTTTCCAGTCAAAGTGTTTGTGGGAAACAGCAAAAGCAGAAGTTATGAAACAAGATTTGAGAATCTATGTCCGCGCTGACAAGTGGGCGTGGCCGTCGGGGCGGGGCTCGCAGTGATGTCTTGATGAGTTGCCCGCCCTAATAAGTGTGGTTAATTTGATGTGAAAAGTGAGGGTGAATTTGGTTTGAAAAAGGGTGAATTTAAAGTGAAAATGGTATAAATTTTGCCGTGAGGCGATGCAGCGTTTGGCGGTGATGCGTCCCGGACGTGGTCACGCAGTCCAACCGTTCGAGCGATCCGATCGTTAAGTCTGAACGTGGTCTTAAGGTGGAAATAAGTGATTTCTCTTGTTGAGAACAGTCGAGCTGTTATGAAGCGAAAGTTTGAAGCAATGTTAGAGCGAAGAGCGAATAAGTTGGCGTAATAACGGCTGATAAGTTGTTGCTCATAATGATAGAGCTGGAATTGCGAAGGAAGAGACCATACAAAAATTCTTGACGAAACGGGAGCAGGCCCAGGGCAGAGAGTAGAGGTTGGTTTTCTATGACAGCTTTTCCTTTAAATGCGGAGATTACGCCGTCATGGGTGAGGCTCATGAATGTTCCACTAACTGTGTGCATTTCAGACATCTGCTCGTCGCTCTGAGTCCACCTTCAAACGTCCAGAGAAGATGCACCGGGAATTATATAATCTTATTGGAAAATCGGATGTCAAAGAAGCCGGTACTGTCGTCCCCACCGAAATCAGAAAGGGCTTTGCTCAACTGAATGCACAAGTGAGTATCCTTTCTAATTTGATAGTTTCGCGCAAGTGTAGTTGGCAGATGACCTAGACGAAACTGGGTCGCGCACAGACCAACTTGTTTATCCCCTTGTTGTGGTCACTTTTATTCGGTCATGGTATGGAATAGGTTTGAAATATCAGTCTGAGTGGCACAGCTTTGCTATGCGCATCACATACAGAACCCTAAAGGCCTGGAACCTATCTTCATCCTTTGAAATGTTGAAAACATCACCATGTTTTTTCATGAATATGTAGTTATTTCCATCTGCAGCAATACGATGATCAATAACGATCATCGTATTGCTGCATGCATTAGCGATCGCAGAAAGTACTGAGTGAATTTCGATACTACCGTATCACAGTGGAAATGAAATGTGTACATGAATCTGCTAATTATTCTTGCGGTGTAAGAGCGCCGGTGCTAACGTATTCGGGGGGGGGGGGAGGGAGGAGGAGGGAGACCACGCGGCTTGCGGCGCGCGATGACTCATCTGCTCTTCTGCTCCCACCTCAGCGAAATAAAAGTAATTTCATGTTTAGGACATGAATATAACACCGCCGTAGGCTTATATATAGAAGGCAAAACAGTTAACGCTGAAAAGTGCGAAGAAACAATTGTAGGTCGCAAGATCTTTGCCTGAGCCTACAAGGGAAGGAATTCTGGCCTAGATGAACCCATCCTTTGTGTAAAAGTGACAATCAACCAATCCGCAGAATCTAAAAAAGAATCTAGTGCAATAGCTACCTATCAAATCGTAGAAATTGAACCCTGAGCAGTTTCCTCACAATAAAATTACAAGACAATTCACCTCACCAACTCTCTCCACCTTCCCATTTGAAGTCCATCTGTTTCCCGCTTTAAATATGACAGGGAACCATCTGTGCGCTGTTTCAAGCACATTCCCGGCGGATCTTTTTTGCTTTATTCTTATTTGCCTGCTAGCTTCGCGCTTTTGCTATGCCGGGAATCCATATGGGCTGTTCCGAGTACATCTCGCCGAGGAAGGAGCGGAAGAGCAGATGAGTCATCGCGAGCCGCGAGCCGCGTGGTACCCCCCCCCCTCCTTAATACGTTAGCGCCAGAGCGCCTCCTTACTTTGCCCAGTGTTTTGAGCATGCGCTCAAAACGTTGAGTCGACACGTGAGCTAGGCTCCGCACGTTCGGACTTCGGTAAGTTGTTTGCAGTTATTGCCGGGTTGTTTAAAAGCTTTCGGGTAACGACGTTGGAGACGTTAGAGCGCGGAAGGCGTTCTGACGTGTAGGTAACAAATTGAAACTGAAAAAAAACGAGATTTCACAGTTCGACCAGTTAGGTTTCATCTGACAATCTCTTTTGGCAGAAGTAATTATGCATTCGGTTCAGTGCATGCACACGTCGTCTGCGTTTAGATTTTCCCCTTTTTCATCCAGTCTGGTTTTCCCCTTTTCTCGCACAGTGTGGGGTGCCTCTTTCTGTCACCTTTGTCATCCTTTTCCACAAATCTTCTTTTGCTTGATTCATAGAGTACCGTGTACTTTCTTTAGATGAAAGAGTTCAAAGAAATGATAGAATCCGAGTTTTGTGATTAATTAATGAGAGACTTTGCTTTAGCTAGGTGGGCGTCCTGTTCGCAAGTACAAATGGGTTCCTTTCACCAATGAAGCTCGTAACGACTCTCTGCAGCTCTATCACTGGCAGCGAGTTGATAGACTTGAGAATCCTGAACCGTATCCATTCTCCAAGTTTAATAAGGTATTCATTGTTTGACTTTTCTTTCCATTTATGACGCTTCTAATCAGAAGTTTCAATTGCCTTCATTTGAGGTTATCAGCATTCCCGACTTCACGGATGAGGAGTATGAGAAGCATTTCAAAGTGGAAAAATGGACACTTGAAGAGACAAGACATTTGTTCGATGTTTGCCGACGTTTTGACATACGGTATTTCGAAATTAATCTAGTGTCGGAAAAAGTTGAAAAGGTAGTTTTAAGATGGCCAATCGTGCATGATCGGTTCGATCGAGAGAAGTATGGATTGAGATCAATGGAGGACTTGAAGGAACGTTTTTACGCCATAGTCAACGAGATAGCTGTTATGAGGGTAAGAAATTTGTAACGCGACTGTTGCCATCCATGTTTCTGCTTCAAGTTCTAACCCGGTTCTCTGTTCAGTTTATGTAGTTCTCCCTTAATGGCAGTGATAAAAGAAAATCACATGTTATGCTCCGGGTGGGTTGAGAGGAGCTTGTTAACTGAATTTCATAAGCCAGTTTAGCGAGTTTAGTGAGAGATAGAAGCGAATATCAGAAGCGGCTAACCAATACGAGGAAACCTTAGAGGCATAACGCTTCGTGGTAAAACAGAAAACAAAATTAGGTATAGCTAGGCTCTCCTTTGCATCGCCTTTTGGCATTATTAACATCAAGAACTT